AAACTTTAATACTGAAAATAATGTTGGAGGCTAATGATGTTTGAGACTTCAATGTCTATATTTGCTTCCTCTATATATTTCGTCTTATTTAGACGGATTAGAATTCTCTCTTTATGGTTTGGCGCGTTTGTGAAAAGGTTCGAGCAATTTGAAAATGGCACTTTGCCTTTTGTTGGTAGAAAAGTTTCTCAGACTTGGCCAAATTGATGGCTTGAAGCCTAAGCGCCGGCAACCTGGACTTGGTTTCGGCATGGATGATCATGTAGCGTCTGCTGGGCAAGCTTGAGGGCAGTCTTAGCTGCCTTGGCACAAACTGATATGTGAGAGAATGATTGCTCATTAAGCTCCTTCAGCTTGCACTTCAAGTTTTTCAACTTTGAGCTCAATTGGAATTGCATTGTGCCTCGGTGGCGCTGGCTCTAAATTTCTTCAACATAGGGCATTTTCATGATTCGTCCACATGTTGAAAAACCTCCAAGGTGAACCGGTTGTGCTCCTTGCCTCAAATACAGAAATCTACCGATATGAATTAATCTAATTCAAGTAGAATGTGTCTTACTTTGAAGTTCTACATAAACAATCAAAACTTCCTATCCAGAGGATTTTCCTTGTTTTCATCCTAACGTATTCCAATAAAATGATTCCAGTAAATAGCAGAATCGTGGATAGGGAACTATACGAGCGACCTACCCCAATTTATTGTAGAAATTTTCGGATCAATGATTAAACGGAGTTACATCCCCTTTCCATTCAAGAGTTCTTATGTGTTTCCACGCCCCCTTGAGACCCCGAAAAATGGACAAATTCCTTTTCTTAAGACTCACAAAAGTGGTGAATTTGAGTGAGGATCCATGTAATTGAGTTGAATAGCTCTCTCCAGAATTGACTTGTGCAAATCTTATCTACATCTTGATAGAGAGAAAAATCAATTACTGTAAGCTGGTTTTATTTTAGGCACCTATAACCTAGTCAGTGTTAACTCCTAATACAGATATGGGCGTTTCTTCTTGCTGTATGTTTGGAAATTGCTTCTACGTTTTGTCTTTTTACAGATCATATGTAAACTTGGAATGGCTGTGAAAGCAGAGCCTTCCTTCTTCCTTTGGGGGGTGGGGTGGGGTTATGTGTTTTTATTACAAAGTAATCACCTCATTATTTTATGTTGGTGGAATTTTGTCCCCTTGATAAAATGTCTGTATGAGTATGATAGTTATTCTTTAGCCTGAACCTTTTTTTTGGTCGGATTCAAGCATGGTGGCTCTGAAATGATAAAGTAACTGGTCTGTGGTGTCGTTGTGTCTTGTGAATTGTGCGGGGCCATTTGCAGTTCTGACTAGTTATTAATCCAAAACTTCTTCTTTAACAAACATTTCTTTTCTAGACTGAAATAGGACGGAGAAGTGGAGGAGATAACGTACTTGAAAGGGAGGGGTACTCAGTTTCAGCAGGATTTTCGCTAGGGCTTGTTGCGTTGGGTATGGTTTATTGGTTTATTGAATATTTCATTTTAGGTAATTTTGTGTTTTGGCTAACACCCTTCCACTTTGTTACTTAAGGTCGTGGTGAAGATGGTATTGGCTCCATGAGCACCCTCGTGGATCACTTGTTCCACTACATTAATGGCAAGGAACTCAATAATGTATGTTATGCAGTTTCTGAATTAAAAGTTTCTGCAAACTGTGATTTTTATTCACATAAAACTGGTCTTGAAACTATCTTGCTTACCATAATACCCCTGTTACAGGATAGCCTCCATCTTTTCTCATCATCAGCTGATGAGCTCACTCGAAATGCTGGACAGGTTGTACTTTATTTAGTCCTATGAGCAATAATACTTGATTTAAGTCTAGTATCTTTGCGAAGGGGTTTAGTATGTGGTGTCTGCTCACAGTTTCCCGACTCACCATTTTTTGTTTTTTTCTAGATTATTGATGGGAATGTACTGAACATTGACGTTACTGCACCAGGGGCCGTAATTGCTCTGGCATTGATGTATTTGAAGGTAATTTATACCCTGACTTCTTTGATGGTATTTGTAACAGCAGAATTCGATGTGAATACATAAAACTTTGTGTTCTATGTGAAGTTAATTTGAATGCATTTGAATTTTAAGAATATTGCAGGTACAATCTCTAATTAGGACCCCCTGATTCTCTGCTTTGAATCTGAGTAATGTTTATTTGCGGTTAAAAATAAATTAGACAAAGATATTATTAGGAATATATACAAAATATACTTGTCTATTTTATTATTCTTTGCCACTTAGTCTGGTGATATATTTCCTTGTGTATGCTAAAAAAGTTATTTTGGTTTAATATGTGGTACACTGATGGTTGTTGAGAAACATGCCAATTATAATATTTTATACCAATAATATTACTGTTTTTATATTGGTATCATTTTTCTCCTTATATATGTTAAAATTGTTACTTTGGTTTAATTTGTGCACACAGACAGAATCTGAGATGGTAGTATCTCGGCTGTCTATCCCCCAAACTCAGTTTCAGTTGCAGTACGTGAGGCCTGATTTTATAGTGCTCCGTGTAATTGCTCGGAATTTGATAATGTGGAGCAGGTACATGCTTTTAAGTTGGTATTAGAAATGGCAAAACGCTAGTGTTATTTTTGTGTTGATGCAAGTTTTATTGCTCAGCATTCATCCATCAGAAGACTGGATCAAGTCACTGATACCTGAAGTTGTTAGAAGTGGCCTAAAGGGCCTTGGAGATGTGATTGATGATATATATGAGATGGATGCTGAAGCCTTCGTTCAGGCATATGCAAATATAGTGGTTGGAGCATGCATATCTCTAGGTAAGTCATTATGCCAATATAGTGGTTGGAGCATGCATTTCCTTAGGCAAGTCATTTTCATTACTGAATACAGACATAAATTGATTTGTTTTTAATTTTTGTGCTGTTAAGCTTCAGATTTGACATCCTTTTGACTGTTCTATTGTCTCTTTGAAATATTTGTTGTCCTCTTAACTAGTACGTAGCCCGTGGGATGTCGAGATGTTAAATGAGTCATTTCCATAGGGCTTGTCTGTCGCACGAGACGAAGTGTTAAATGAGTTATTCCCATAGGTTGTTGTCTGTTTAGGCTCCAGAAATAGTAGTGTTGGATCATCCATTATCCACCTTTTATTTTATTTTATTTTATTTTATTTTATTTTATTTTTTTTCTGTGAGAAAGTTAAACCTGACTGTTAGGTGTAAGTCAATTAATAATATATTATCCCAACTAACACATTTATACTAATATAAGTTTGATTTTAGTATATATATTTATTTCTTGATGTAATAGCAAATACCAATTTTACTTATTCTTGTTTACCATATACAAAGAGAGTGGGAATGAAAGATGGAGAAAAGGTTTAAAAGTTTGGTGCTGTAGCCCAAGAATCAACGACCCATTTAATCCTTTACATACAGATCATGTAGTTGATTACTTTTGTTGGCAAAAATAACAGTAGGTGATTGTGGGTTCACAGCCACAGTAGGTCGAGCATACTCCAATCAAGATGGTGACCATATTAGAAGTATATGATCGATGGGACAAACATTTTTATTATTTTAAGTTAAAAAGAACCACAAAATAACCACAGTTCCCAAAGCACTTCCAAAAATGTTCCTTTCCAGAGTACTTCCAAAACACTAAATCCTGAAAGAGCCAAGCCCGAAAGAAAAACACTCCCAGAAACCAAAATACCAAAATAGCCGATCTTGACTGCGAGAATGTATCAGACCTAAAAGGCCACAGGCAAGTAGAATGTAGAAAACTGAGTTGACTGATGGCGCCGGAATTTTTTCCGGCAACACATGTCCCACGCACTGGAGCAGGGGACTACTGCCGGTAGTTCCGGTGGCGCTTGTGTACCATACTCGCTGAGGCTGAAGATGAGACTTGACAAGAGTGCTCTGACCTGGTGACTGCCAGTCGACCTAGGTGGGACGTGAGACCAAAACTCACTCATAGGCACCAGGAAACAATGGACAAGTGGGTAAAAAAATTGTTGTTGAGAACCCAAACCCTAACCTTGCTTTGTACCATGTAAAGTGGAATGAACTATTGTATTAATCTTTTGTATTATATCGTTCAAGGGCACAATGTACATTTATATATAAAATAGTTTAGGAGCACACTAGAAGGAAATTAAGTCAAAGAGACTAACCTATGGGGTTATAATATTCTACTAATTGATACACTAACCTATACCATATATACATAACACAGAGGATCACAAACTCGAGGAATATGCGTTCTGCTTGTCTTATGCATGTTCAAATTTTTTTGATACTTGACTACATGTTAGCTGATAACTTTCTGAGATGAGGAGAATTCAACACAGGCCTATAAGATTTTGTTGCTTCTTGACATAGTTTTCCTTTTCTTTTGTATTATTTAGCTTTGTGTTAAAAAACATGGTTTAGTGTTTCTAGAGAATTGAACATTGTGTTTTGCATTGAGTTATTGTGTTGGTTTGTGATGCATTGTGTATTCTAAATGGTGATAGTTTAAAATGGCGCCGCCATGGTGAGAGGCGGCGGAGGCGAGGGTTCAACCGCCTCGCCACTGCCTGAGGCGACCCTGTTTCCGAGGCACCTGCCTCAGGTCGCCTCGACTCGCCTTTTTGCGTGGCAAGGCGCCTGTGAGGCGCGTCTCAGCGCCTCTTGTTTTATTAAAAAAATAAAAATAAAAACGCAACCTGTATTTAACTATGTAAGAAAAGGTCGTGACGTGAAAAGAAAAGAAACTGGCTGGTCGTCGAGCAGAGTTTTTCAGACTAATAACTATAGTTTAATTATGTGTGCCAAACAGGATTGTTGCTTAGTTCTAGTATTTGACTATGTGTGCCAAATTTTATACTGGGTATGTTGATGTTGATGTTGATGATTTGGACTTTCCTTAGCGGTGTTTGTGCTATGAACTTATGTTGCATTTGTGTTCCTCTGCCTTTTTGGGGTATATTTGATTTTCTTTCTTTCTTTCTTTTTTTTTTCGTCATTGAAACATAAATATACAATCGCATCATCTATAATGTTGTTTTTCTATATTTTGGTGGCATGTGTAGCCGAGGCCTCGCCATGGCGAATCACCTCTCCTCGCGATTTAAATCTATGTGTTGAGCACAGGCTTTTCCTTCAAGATCACTTTGAAGGAATTATGCATCTGTGTCATGCCCCTTCTATTCAGCATTTGCATTGTTGCACATTGAGTGGGTGCTGAAAATATGTGTGGTGCCCCTTAATAGTGACAACCTGTAAACTCGATCGTATGCTAACAAATAACTTTTTCAAGCTAGAATTCAGATTTATCCGGAGAACTAAGATTTTCAACAATAATTTTTGTTAGTTTTTTCTTGGAAATGAATTCGTTAAATTCCCAATTTTCAAATTTATATACTTTAGAATTATGCTTTTTGGCAGGGTTGCGATTTGCTGGTACAAGAGACGGAAATGCACAAGAAGTGCTTTACAAATATTCTCTATACTTTCTGAATGAGGTTTGTCTTGGAATCTTTTGTTTCCTTTTGGCTTTAATGTTAATGAAAGGTGAGAAATTAACCAATATATGTGCAGATAAAACCAGTTTCTGTTTCCAATGGAAATGATTTTCCAAAAGGACTATCTCGTTACGTTGATCGTGGGACATTGGAGACATGTCTTCATCTGACCGTTCTTTCCCTATGTGTGGTCAG